AAGACTCCCCTCTTCGGTCACCTTTCTACCCCTACACTCCCTGCCCTCCACCATTCCTGATCCCAGCCTTCAGCTCAGGTCCAAATCCATGACTGACTTCCCACTTTGCTCGGGCTTCCTCTCCATCTCTGTAAACACACCGTGAGTCCATGTGGGGTGGGGGGGGGGCAACTATAAGAACAAGTTGCAGGAGATGCTGAGCATCTTGTTGTGGGGCTGATGGAAGACAGGCAGGAGGAGAAGAGCAGCAGCTGATGCTGGCAAGGCTCCTATCCAACGCGATAGCTGGGTGAGAAGCTGAAGAGATCAAACTTGGTGACTGCCCAGTAAATTAAGATGAATTGGACGTAAGTAGCGGTTGTCTCAGAAAGGAATGTCAATGAACCAGCAGGAGCTTTAAGAAAACAAAGGGACCCTAACACCCACATAGCCCTTCCTCTTCCCCCTGCTCTCCCCTCCCCAGCTCATACAACAAAGTCAAAAGCTGCCTAATTGAAAGCCTGCCATCTGTTTAGAGAAAATCCGCTTCACTCTTATTAGCTAGCGTCCGTTTCTGACTATAAGTTCGCACCAGAGTGGTAATGAGACCCAGAGTATGGGAGAAAGAGAGGGGACAGTAGGGATTGAAGCAGATTGTGTTTTTTTTAATTTTTTTAAATTAAACATTAACCTTTGCATTGAGGGAATTAGCCATTTTCGCCCACAAAATACACAGTCGTTGTGCGCAATTGGCTGCCACGTTTTGTCCATGAAATATACAGTCAATCCACTTCACAGTATATTCTGTAAGCACTTTGAGATGTCTCAATGACGCGATAAGGCTCTATATCAAATGTATGGATTATTATTATTATGATGATGATAATATGATGTGGAAATCCCACAGAGAAATGCAGCAGAGAAAGCAGAACAATAGGCACCGTGAGGCCTCCCATCTTATTTCTCTTGTCAGTTATTCCTCATCTGCGAGAATCTCAGGTGAAGGTAGGGGGGGAAACAGAAGGGTGAAAGGATGAACTTTCAACAGTCTGAATGACCACAGAGTTTCCTGAAGGCACTAAAATGAAATGTGTTTTAATGAAGATTAACTCATTGAAGAATCTAACGCACTAGTCCGCTCCCCCGAGACAGATACTGAGGACGGAATTTCTAAAAGGAGGAATCCGAGTGGGGCTGTTTATGGCAGTTAACAGTTCATCATGCATGTCACGTCGACTCAAGGGGCACTTGCTCGGAAAGTAGACATAGTTAAAGCACCATCCAGATGTCTGGATTTCTTAATTAAGGCTTTATTTGGAGTCCTGTAGCTCAGTGGTTAGAGCACTCGCTTTGCAAGCGAGAGACCTGAGTTCAATTCCAGGCAGAGGGCAAAACCTTGGGCAAGTTTCCGTACTCCACACACCTAATAATAATCCCTCCAAAACCAAAAACAATAATAAATTGGTCATTTCCAATCTACGACTGTTTGTAGGACATTGCTGTGCGCAATTGGCTGCCGCGTTCACCCACAAATATACAGTCAATTCACTTTACAGTGTGTTCTGTGAAGGCTTTGGGACGTCCTCCCGATGTGAAAAGCGCTATATCAAATGCAAGGATTATTATTATTATTATTAGTTAAGTCAACTACAAGTCATCAAAGCAACAGATATGAATGCCCTTTGCATAGATTTCTGGTACGACTCTATTTGTACTGGACTTACCAGTTCACAATTGGCTCCTGCGAACGGAGGAACTAATTTGCACACAGCAATGTCCCATAAACAGCAATAATGGGAATGGCAATTTTATCTGGGGGAATAGCAGTTCTGATGTGAGAGTGAAGATTGCGCACTTCATATGATTGACTGACCTGTATTCTTTGCTTAGGTCTGTACAGTCAGTTTGACAACACTTTGTCTCTGTTTTTTTTGCTGTTTGTGCATTGGTACTGTGGATGTCAGTGAGCAGCACATCTCTGAGCAATCAAATCCTTTTATTATCTCATTCGAAAGACATGCCTCTTGGCAATGCAATGAAATGCATCCTGTCCCCATAAACCCAGCAATGTGCTGGAGTGTCAGCCTAGACTAACAGAATCGAGCGCTACCATCAGATCTGCACCTGGAATTAGGTAAGCAGGATGCATCCCTCCAGGGAGAGAGTGCACATTCCATTCCAATACACATTAATTTACATGTGCAGGTGGATACATGAAACTCTCAGTTTGGTTCGGATAGTCTTAAGCACGATGATGAGTTTCCGCACGTGTCAGACACCGGCTGAGCAAACACAAATTGAGTCTATGATTCAGTATCTTTAGTGCGTGCTTGCCTCTTCATCCTATATCTTTAACGTGGAGTCCTGTAGCTCAGTGGTTAGAGCACTCGCTTTGCAAGCGAGACACCTAAGTTCAATTCCAGGCAGAGGGAAAAACCTTGGGCAAGTTTCCTTACTCCACACAGAGCCTAATAATAATCCCTCCAAAACCAAAAACAATAATAAAAATTGGTCATGTTCAATCTATGACTGTTTGTGGGACATTGCTGTGCGCAATTGGCTGCCACGTTCGCCCACAAATATACAGTCAATTCACTTTACAGTGTGTTCTGTGAAGCGCTTTGGGACGTCATCCTGACGTGAAAAGCGCTATATCAAATGCAAGGATTATTATTATTATTATAACGTGAGGATTGGACAGTATTGGCTATGAATCATTTTATTTTGCATTTCAAAGTGTACATTCCTGTTTTGGTACATTTGACGTGACACTTGTATGTTTTTTTATGCTGCTGTACTGGAATCTCTCCAAGTATATGCTCGAGCCTCCATTTAATTGAACTCTATTGCATTTGGCAAATAAACCTAATTCCACACAAATCCCAGAGCTGAACAAAAATAGGAACTTGTTTGGCAGGG